CGAGGGAGAAGAAAAACTACAGCGGGCAGACATACCGGATCCTTGAACTGGGCATTTATCTTTCGCACCACATCGAGCGTTTCTTGAAGTTTGTTTGCCGTATCATCAGCCGATATTTCTCCAAGCCCCAACAATCCGCCCATCTGAAATTTCAGCCCCTGCTAAGGCGTTACCATACATGAACCTTTCTCCATTATCCACCTAAGAAAGGCATGCCCAAAGAAAAGAATATAACTTGTAAAGCGTGTAAAATTTTTAGGAACTGCGATTTCAGATGCTTTTTCCTCTGTGTTAGTGAACTGGTGTAGTGGGAAATGATGCAAATTCGCAGATGCGGGGGAAATTCCTCAAGGATCTATTCTTACAGTAAACTGTTATTGGGCCATCCAAGGCAATTGGAGACGCCTTCAGCTTACTTTCAGTGAATTTTGGGAGCAAAAGCTACCAGCATCTTTGTCTGCAACTGCTCTTAGAAAAATGCTTTAGAAAGGTAAGTGATGTGTTTCCAGATTTAGTTATCCTGTGGTTCCTTTAAAAATTGAAATATTAACAAAGTTTTGCCTTTTTTTTGGAAATACCCGCTTGTGTGTGCGCTTTTTTAAAAAACCTGCTTGAGTTCAAGATGTCCAAACGAACCTGCGACATCAGCGGAGCCAACGAGCTCTGTAGGCCGATAAGTTTGCCTAAACTATTTTCAATTAATGTTGGGAACTGCAACAATCGTAGAGTATGCCCTGTTGGCGCCGTATCAAAAACAACCACATCGAAATCCATCGACTGAATAAGCCTGGAAAAAAAAAGACAGTTGAATTGCTATGGCAAATAAGACAGGCATTATTTCCTGATTATCTGAAGCTTCATAAGCGGCATAGGGAAATCTTTGTTGGTGTTTACAACGCTTCTTCTGTCTTTATTCGTCCGGCAATTCAACAAATTTCTGAACTGTTTTGGTTTGAGAAAGTTTTATTTTAAAGAGGAAGCCCCCTATTCGCGTGTGAGAGTTTTCGATGTTGCTTTCAGATGAGTAACAACCAGCCCAAACTCCTCTCGTCCCTCGCAGAGAGTAAAATGTGGACGACGCCCGGAGGTTTTGTTTTTGCCTAATTTAAACTTGCGCAACTGCATTTTACGGGTAACACTGTGTATTGCAGCAGGGCTTCTTAAGGAATAAATACCGAGCCAAACACATCTCCAGGCTCTTCGATGCTCCCGATCCTCTCGCTCTCGCTTCCCTTAGCCATCCAAATCTCATCAAAAGCGCGAACCAATTGCAAATGAAACACGGAAATGCTAGTTTTTGAATTTTTAAAATGATACTTGATCATTTCGGAGAAGCTCATGGCCTCATCAATTCCAGGTAAACCACCCACCATATCCTGCAATACCTGTCGGCCAAGACTTAGCACATCTGAAACACTGCTGAACAGTTTCAACACGCATATCAGAAACTTGTTCATCCCGAAATATATGTTGTTGATACTATTAGCAAAAAAACGCAGGTGGCCTCAGTTTGAGTAAAATACTGATTAACTGTTATAAATTTTTCTCCCCCTCTCCTCCCCCCCCCCCCCCCCCCCCCCCCCCCCCAAAAAAA